GCATCAACTTCTCAAAAAACATGAAAAGGTAAATCAGTGAATTGCAACTCCTCTTGCCACAATATGTATATACAGTACATTCTGAATATCTAAGTATTTGTTCAGGTCCAACAAAATAAGCGATGCAGCATTTAGCCTGTGTTCTAAAGCGCTTTCATCCGTGTGCTTGTCAGCTTTTCCCTGGTCTTCAGCATGTTCAGAGTACTTTATATATTTCATATTCCCTGCATACACATCAAACAGATATGACAGTGTGTCTATTTCCTGTGTCACTGCAGGAGCAGGAACAGATGCAATGCTACAATCAGCGAATGATTGAGATTCTGAAAGGTCGGCAGCAGCAGGAGAAGAACCGGCTGCCTAAGATCCAGCGCGGGGAGGCGAAGACCCGCATGGCCATGTTCAAGAAGAGCCTCCGCATCAACTCAACGGGCAGCGCCTCAGGGGACAGAGAGAAGATCAAACAGGTCGGTGTAGCACGGCTTTTCTAACTCCATAATTAAGCATCAAGTTAATTATTCAGTAACTCACTCCCTTTTGTCTCTCTTTAGTTTTCTCTGCAGGAGGAGAAGCGGCAGAAGGCAGAGAGGGTGCATCAGCAGCAGAAACACGAGAACCAGATGAGAGAGATGATTGGCCAATGTGAGAGCAATGTCAGAGAGCTGCAGCAGCTACAGGTAAGGTCATCTTTTGCAGTCTATCCTGCATGTCACTGCAGAACTTTTCGTTTGTTTCACAGCTCCTAAGTGAGCAGAACAAATGGACTGAAATGGTTAACAAGAGCTTGTTTTGTGCTTCAGAATGAAAAATGTCACATGTTGGTTGAGAATGAGACTCAGAGGCTCAAGGATTTGGATGAATGCCACAACCAGCAGCTGAGGGAATGGAGGGATCAGCTGAAACCCAGAAAGAAGGTACATGTCAGTGTTATTACAGTGTTATACAAAACAAAGTTCAAAGTCTACTTGCTTATCCACATGGCTCTAAAACACAGAATGACAATTATGTTTACATCAAATTGTAAATATACATCATATATGTACTGAAATCATTCAAGTGCTTATGACATAAAAGTCACCAGATAGTATTGAGTTACTTTCTACATGTGTAAGTGTGGGGAGGGGAGGGCAGCTATCCTGACTCTTTTCACAATTCAAGAATACGCCTATACCGCTCAGTAATTGACACTGCATCTTTTCACAATTTCTTCTCAAACAAAGCAGGGGACAGTGACTTCCTGGAGTCCTGTCTCTATGCTAAGCTAAGCTAATCTCCTCAGGCCCCAGCTTCATACACTAATTAAGGCAGATATGCTAGTGGTGTGAATCATTTCATCCTCTTGGCAAGAATGCAAATAAGCGTATTCTTTCAACTTTATACAAGAGCTTGAGCACATAAGAGCACTTTTTCAAAAGTTCCTTCTTCTTGTCCATATTTGTGCTACATGCATCAAAATATATATGTTTATCACAACACACAAAATTAATGTTTTTCCTATCTTGGTATTGAAATATTCGTGCTGTACAGCATAAGACAAGTGTTAGTAAAGTTTGCATTCCGCTAAGTAAGCTTGGTCAGATAATCTTCCGCCCATCTCCTCCTAGGCCCTTGAAGAGGAGCTAAACACGAAGAAAAGGGAGCAGGAGGCTTTTTTTAGGATGAGTGAGAGCTCTGATTGCCCAAACCCAAGTTCACCCAACAAACTCTCCAAGTTTGTGCCTTACCAGGACTCTTCTACCACATAAGCTGCTGTGACATTGCACAATAACCATACACCCACAGGTATTACAAATGCCTACTGCCTGTTGGCTTTGCCTGAAATGGCAGCATACCGATTCTCCCAATTAGGTTTCTCTATTGTTTTAGTGAATATTTATGTTTTAGCTCATGATTTTTCTTTAACATTTGTGTTGTAGTATGTGATGGATTTAAAACAAATGTGCTTCACATGACTCAGTTACATAGTATCTAATCCCATACAGTGTTTTAATTTCCTTTTTTCTGTTTCTTCTTATTGCTCACCAGTGGAAGTGTGAGGGTAATATGACACAGTGGCTGTGAGTTTAAACTTATCTGTCTTAATGAGTAAAATGTGAGGGTAGAAATGCATGAGTTTGTTTCTTTGAAAGCTGGTGAGCCAGTAACTAAGCACTTTTCGTTTACCCCAAATTATCAGTGCTGTCTTCCAAATATCATGACCAAAAACACATCCAAAATGTAGTAATTGACAGACTTTTTCCATTTTTCCCCTATTTCTGTATGGCTTGGCAAAGTCACCGGCTTTGTCCATAAGTCATATAGAAGCTAAAGTCTGCCTTTATTTATTTTACTGAAAACAACCTTATTCAGATTCATCACTGTAAATGCTAATTTAAATATTTTCTCTCTTCTTTTTTGTTTTTTAAAACCCACACCCATGCTATGAAGGATGCGCTTATTATTTTGTATCTTGTTTGAAATGTGGGATGAGACTAACTCAGAATTTAAGTTTCTTTTAAATGATTATTTAGGAATGAGATTTTAACAAGACAGAGGGGACTAATTGTTATTCACAAAGTGTTATTATTTTGTGACATTTGTTTTTCTGTCATATTTTTTTACTGTAAAATCAGTCACTGGATGGGAACTGACAAAGCCAAAGAAAAATACTGTTGTTCTTTGAAGGATGTTAGATTAGGGGATTTAAAATTGAATTTAAAAAAATGTGTATTAAGTGTATTTGTTATACATGTGCAGTAAATGCACTGCCTGCTAACCAAAGTGCAATATTACATGTATGTCTCTGCTGAGCTTAAAGAGGTTTATTTTTCTTAAAACTTTGCCTTTCTTTGCACTGAGAAGGGGAATAATATAAATAGTTTAACTCCAAAAATAGATGCATCAGCCATTTTGAAATAAACAGCATTGCTTAAAAAATATTCTATCTTTGTAAAATAAAATAAAAAGTTGTATTGTGAAGCAATAATTTAGGGTTTAATTTTTTCCAAATGATCTGATTTTTGAAAATAACTCTTCATATCAGTTTTAGGGGAGTGCAACAATTCAGACCGCTGTTTCCTCTAGATGTTCAACCTTAAACTAAAACCTTGAGTTTGCAGCTGAGGAACGTATTGCCTTGTTGAGTGAGAGAGTTTTTCTTTAGAGCAGTCTGGCGTGCGGATTTTCATTGAACCAGGTCAGCAATCAGGTACAGCTTACTCTCTCTCCCTCTCACACACACTCTCTCAAAAGTATTTAAATTCTTTTGTAAAATTTCTTCTTCTGTCATGTTTAATGGCTCCAAATATGCCTTCCTCTGCCTCAGTTTATGTGACATTGTTTGTATGGAGGGGTTGTGAGTGTGAATGAAACTGTATCAGAAGGAACCACTGTTGTAAATGACTCTTAATAAAGGCAGATTTTCTAATTACTGGATTGTCACATTGGCTCTTTCTAATAGCACCAGCAATACCATCATAGCTCACGTCCGGTTATGAAGACTAACATAAGATGATGGTGACAATCAAGGCCACATTTTATTTTAAATTTCTTCATCCGGACAAGACTCATCCAGATCATTAGAAAGTCTGAAGTAATTATGATACCATAATGTGTAGAAAGGAGAGGAAAAAGTCAAAGCCCTGTATTTAAAAATAAAGTTTACTCAATCTGAAAGTGAAGGACTATGCTGAAAGTAGAAGAGGACATCACCTGTACATTAAATTAATTTTCATCAAAGAACTTATACTGACCTTTTGTCATTATCCAGCTCTGTTTTGCCATATATAATCGCGTGCTTGTTCTCATGGTTCACTGCAGCAGAGGTTACTGGCTCAACACCTGCAAGAACTTCACCAACACAGTGTGAGAGGTGGGTCACCACAAAATGTATTTAAACCTGCATTCATTTTCTTTTTGGTTCGTTTTGTTTTTTGGCCTTTAAGGCAATGCAATAAGCTGTAAATGCAACACAGACATTATCGCCTACAAGTTGGTGTTTCTGTCTACCCCAATATATTAAGTTTAATTTTTTTAAAGTACTGCTTTGGCCTCCACCAACTTCTGAGGGAAATAACGTGGCTCTTCAGCTCTTTAACTTTGCCTCTTGATGCTGGGCAATGATATTAAAGTGGGGTTATCCAGTTCCATTCGTGTTTACTGACTGGCAATCTTTTAAAAAAAATAAATTGTTGGACATTGCCTTATTTCTTTGCACGTTATCCCCACCAACTGTTGATCAGCGGAAAACGTGAAACCAATGGGAGTATGTGAATCACACCACTTGTGGGTGTGCAAGATGCAAACAAAATGTGTTTAAACAAAAAACAGCTCAATAGTGCTACTAAAACATTGATTAGTAGGAATACTTAACTTTTACCAGTTTTTCAATTACATAACCCAAAAACATTCCAACAATTTTCTTGGGAGTTGCCAATGCCAAATCAGACACAGTATGACAGCTGAACTGAAAAATCTGAAACTTTTATTAAGTAAAATGAGACAACATAATGAAAAATACATAGCAAACAAATTAAGATTACAGAATACTGAAATGACAACATCAACCCATTTGCCTTGCACTGCACTGTATCTTCCTGCCTTTTGTCCACATAAAATATACCTGAACAATACAATTTTAGGTATATGTAAAACTTTTTTGTAGTTGGTAACATACTGTCATTTCTGTAGAAAACATGGGTGGAAGGTGGAATAACATAGCGACTAGAAGCAGAACAGCATCAGTGTTGTAGCTTGCAGCCTTGTCTGTCAAGAACCATGGAAATACATTTTTATTTTCCAATTTTGCTTGTTTATTGTAAACCTAACTATTTCACTTAACACTTGTGAAATTTTGCAGACAGTCAATTCACATTATTTTGTGATTTTTCATTTATCTTTTGACCAACAATATTCTTTCTTTGCTCTATATCCTTCGAATCCCTTCATCAGTACAGAGCAAAAGACCTAACAGATGGACCATCAAGGAAAAGTGACAACAGCTAAGATATGTTTTTCATTTCTGTACAATAAAAAATAATTTGCTATACTGACTATACTTGAAACCAGTCAAGCATTAATGTAAAACATTATTTTTATACAATGCTCATACTTTGCTGTTATTGAGCACCAAACCTTGGTTAATAACAGACTGTACACTGACAATACTGTAAAGCATTGCACAAATCACTGTAATCTCCAATTTCTTAGGTCATACATTTGCTGCAGATGTGCTCTGCAAGTTCACGATTCTTATTTTTGGGTGTGCGATAACATGATTATGTTAAAAAGCTTTGATAGAGAGCGTCTTTTCACCATATCAGTTTGGATGTTCTAGCCTCATCTTTACATTGGTGGATATTTTGTAATAGTGAGTATAAAAAACATAGCTAATACAAAAGGAGTAATAAAACTAAGAAATAAAATGTACTGTTGCATTCTTCCCCTTCCTTCAGCGTGTGCAAACCTTACCTCATCTGAAATGACTGACAAAGTGTACATCTGTTACAAGTCACTGCAACATTAATTATGCAGTCAATAAAGAAAAGCATTACAATAGCACAAAAACTAAAATGCTTGTTTCTGGTATAACAAACAGCACTTCTACTTGGCAAAGACATCTCTTTTTAGTAATTGCTAATAGCACTTGAAAGCCCAGATGTAGTCATTGAACTGCCCCAGTAAGTTCATGTGCAGTCTTTAAGGGATTTAGCATTTTTTATCTACTGCTGGGGAAAGACTGGCTGGATATGAACATCTAGTATATTGTCCTGTTTTGTAGGTTTTTGATCTTTAGTCAAAAGGTTTTTTAAGCTTCCGATGAGGACTATGTCTACAGTTGCATACCGTATATTAAGGAATGAAGCACTTTGCATATAATATAGAGGCACCATATCATAGAAGGCATGGGTGGAGATACATTTACTGCTAATGTCTAGCCTTTTTACCCAAGATTTCACGTAATCTTTATATAATGATAAAAATTAAAAGTAAACATCACAAGACCCAACTAGGTCATGCGTTATTGCTGGTAAAGTTTAGGTAGAATACTCCTTATCAAAATTAAACATAACAACAGGGTCAATAAAAAAGGTACCTATAAATAAAATAAAAATGCTAATAAGCTACAAAGTACTGATATTTTGTTTATTTATTCCTTAGTTTGTGAATTTATTCATATGCGATTGTTTTGAGAGCACATTCACACTAAGGTTTCTTGCTCAGGTAATTTGAGGGGATCCAGCCCTCAACATCTTCTCCTACATTTTTACAGAACCACCAGCCGCTGCCGGTTTTTTCCAGAACCTCAAACACCGTACCCAGCTTGAAGCTGGATGTGTTTTCATCCCCTTCAAAGTCCGCCACAGCTAGATACAGCTCATCCTTACTGGGCTCCTTGAGTAGAGGTGGAAGCTTGTCCCTGGGCGGGCCAGGCTTCTCAGCCTTCAACTGGGGCTTGGGGGGAATCGGGACTTTGTTAACTTTGGGCTCTTCTCTCTCTTTGTTTGGAGGAGCCAGAACAAACCCTTTGGGTTTAGGTGGAGGGGGTCTGCTGAGTTGTGGTGGTGCGGGCTTGGGAAGGTCCCGGGCATCTTTTAGAGCGGGTGGAGGTTTGAGCTCAGTTGGGCTGGATGGGTTCTCCTTCTTTGGCGGAGGTGGTCTCCTTGGAGCCATGGTTGGTGGTCTCTGAGGGGTTTCCTTGTGGGGAGGAACTGCTGGTTTTGAAGGGGGTGATGAGCTCTCCTGGCTATGACCATTAATGTGTTTTGGGGGGAGTTTTGGCTCGTCGCAGTGCTTACCATTATTGAGAATAGGGATATGGATGGGGGGAGAGCTAGGCGGTGGAATAGCCTGTGAACTATTTACTGCTGCGGAGGTGTCATTCTGATGGTTTACCTCAACTGACGCAGAGTCTGCAGGTTTTGACGGCCTCAGCTTGCTTCTCAAATTGGTGATGTCTAGTTTGTTCTCTGCTGGAGAATCTGGCTTGGCAGCTGGAATAGGTTTAGGTCGGAGCACTGGCTTAGGTTTCATAAACACTGCTGGGCCAGCTGTCTCCGGTTTCTCCTCCTGTGCTTCTGATTTGGGTTTTGGTGGCTGTTTAGGTACGGGTTTGAGATTAAACTTTTTCACCTCTTTGGCAGAGATCTTGTGACCACATTCTAGACCCATCTCATTCCGAAGGTGAAGAGGTTTGCTCTTATCTTCTTTCTTGGTCTCTGGTGGTTTGTCCTGTTTGAAGGGGGCTGCCTTGGGTGGAACCAGAGGTATTATGACCCCAGGAGCTGGGGGTTTTGGGGGCAACGGTTTGGAATGATCAGATCTAGGTTTCTCTGCTACCTCCAGTTCAAAGCTCTTATTAATGGACTCCCTTCGAGGTGGCAGAGCTGGTTTCTCCTCAACTGGAGGGACAGCTGGGGCCGGAGGTAAAGGCCCAGGGGCCCCCTTGGGGGCACTGGCCTTCCAATCTCTTAGCTTAGGCCGGGCACAGGACTCAGGGACTGTGGTTGGCTCATCTGGTAAAGGCTTTGACCAGCTGTCTTCTGTGCCTGAAACGTTAGAAGAACCACCATCTTCCAGACTCAGCTTCTCCATCTCATTGGGCAGAGGGGCGAGGAAATTAGGTCGTAGGGCATTACTGGTCTTCTTGTACTTGTCAATAAAGGTGGCAGGGGCCCAGCCCTCTTTTTCATCTATCTGGATGTACCACCAACCACTTGAATTCTTCTCAATCACCTAGTAGGTTAAAAAAAATAAATTAATATATACAAACCTTTATTTAAACTGAATGTTTCACTATATTCTTTATTTCAATACATTCAGGAAGTGCCTGACCCACCTCAACTTTGACTCCAGCTTGGAAACTAATACCATCAGGGATGGTGGTCTGGAAGTCTGCTATGGTGTAGAACTCTTCCTCAACCTGAGGAGGAATGGGCGGCTTGGGTAGGTTCGTACCACGTGGCTGTGGAATGTGAGAGAAACACAAAAAGGTTACGTCGATGAAAAAGTTTTTGTTGAGAGCTATCTCCTAACAGAACAGAATCCACACTGTGTCCAATGGAGATTTGAGCGGGATCTCTTACAATGGTAAGATCTCTGCGTGGAGGTGGTCTGTGTCTTGATCCCACTTCTGTGGAGGGAAAAGAGTAATCAATCATTTTGCATTAATAAGTTTGTACATTTGCAAAGCAGTGCAGAAGCCATCTGGAAATGTCCCCTCAGACTTGGTGTTGAATACCGGCTGGGTATGCTGACTGTGACTGTGCAAAAAGGCTGCAGCATAAAGGAAATCACTACCTTGTCAAATGATAGAGGGTCTATCACTTTATGTAGATTTTTCATGGTGTGTTTACATAGCCTGGCATTCTTTTGTTTTTTTACATTATTCATATATATATTAAAAAACTGCTTTGACAGCTCAAACCTAGATCTGATCATTTGACAGCTTTGATATATATTGTGTGGCAGCAGTGAAATAGATAGATAGAATAGATAGTTTACTTTTGTTGTCAGAAAAAAATGAGAGTCTGTTTTCTTTGTGGCCGTTGTCTCTGTTCTCTCTGGCTGCATTGTTTTGCTGTTTGGAAACTCCGTCTAGGTCATTGGTACTGGCATGAGCAGCAGCACCTGCTGACTGCTTCTGGCTCTGGATGTCCGTCTTCTTCAGGTAGGAGGCTGGGGCCCAGCCCTCACGACCCTGATACCTGAGAGGAGGAGGGATGTACAATCGGTGGCTTCAGGTGAGAACACAAAAAACTGACTGGGTACACTTACTGGCAGTCTGTTCAATGAGATCAATCAGTATTTTCTAACCTCATTATCCAAGATCTGTAGTCAGGCCGTGTTTTTAAATACATTAACTTGTCACAGTTTTATGTTTATGATGTTTACTTTTCCAAACGTAATGTCCTTGACTTTATTACCTGATCTTCCACCAGCCCTCCAAGTTCCTCTGAATCACCTCGACAATCATGCCTCTCTCCAGGTCAATCTCATCCTCATCCCTGGCCGAGTATGGGTAAATCACTGAGTACTTCTCTTCTGGTGTCAGAAAAAGGCAAAATTGTTAAATATAAGAGCATGAGGTCTGTTTTGAAGATTACTGTGTATAGGTAAACAAATAAATGCTGATGTAAGGTAAAAGCTTGGGAGACAAAGCACACTGTGGCACATTTAGATTACAATGGCTGGAGTTAAAGCTGCAATCGGTAACCTTCCTGCAGCAAAGATGAGTGTGCAGTGTTGCATTTATGAAGTTGTTTAAGCTTGTTGGTATGCAGTGAAAATGTCTGCAACGTTTTAATGAAAAGGCTCAAAATGCTTGCTCCATCACGACAATCACAATGTGATTTAGGATGAGATAGAGAAGTACACCGGGTTTACATGAGCTAACTTATTAAATGAGGCAAGGCTTGAGCAGAATCTTGTGGAGTGAGAGATGTAAGATACACACATGTGCAACACATAAAACACACATACAGTACTTTCTACTAAGATGTCTGAAGATTCTCAGTCATCCAGGTCATAGTTATCCAAGGTTAAAGTCAAGGGCAACTGGACTTGGTTGAAGATACTACAAGACGTTTCATCCCTCATCCAAAGGACTTCTTAGTTTAGAGTTTAGCTTAGTTTCTGGATGTCAGTCTTCTTCAGGTAGGAGGCTGGGGCCCAGCCCTCACGACCCTGATACCTGAGAGGAGGAGTGATGTACAATCGGTGGCTTCAGGTGAGAACACAAAAAACTGACTGGGTACACTTACTGGCAGTCTGTTCAATGAGATCATTCAGTATTTTCTAACCTCATTATCCAAGATCTGTAGTCAGGTTGTGTTTTTAAATGCATTAACTTGTCACAATTTTATGTTTATGATGTTTACTTTTCCAAACGTATGTCCTTGACTTTATTACCTGATCTTCCACCAGCCCCAAAGTTCCTCTGAATGGTTAAATACCATATATGTTCTGGATAATTAGAATCTGTGGGACTGATGTTGGCCCTGAGCATGGTCTTGGGACTATTTAATTAAATCCTTCTCATTGCTGGAAGACTTTATTATGTATTTATTTGTTTCTGTTTTGTATTATATATGTATACACATCTGTGATAATGTCAGTGAATGTTAGATGTGGTAGGGAAACTATTTAACCTAACCTATTTAGCTTAGTTTCCCTACCAGTCAGTCAGAACTCAAGAAGTCCTTTGGATGAGGGACGAAATGTCTTCTAGTATCTTCAACCAAGTCCAGTTGTCCTTGACTTTAACCTTCTTTGGATACTTTCTACTAAGTATTATTATGTCTACCATTATTAAAGATATTCTATGTATTACTATGGATGTATCAACTGTTTAATGTTGGTTAATTATACGTTTGTCCTGATTTAGTTTTTTGATATCAGATAAAAATGCGCAATCCACTTTGCATGCAAGGGTTTAATTTACATGCTTGGATCGCTCATGCAACAAACATTTCATGCATACACGTGAACAAACATGCACACAGTTGTGTACGCATGTCTGCGCACACACACATTTAGAATAGGGGGGAAAAAGAAAGGCGTGCGCTCCACCTTGCCCAAAGCCTGTGCTGAATAGATCCCCTAATGTTCTGCGACGACCCATGTGCCTTGGCAGTGACCAGAATCTCCGAGGCACTGACATCCCAGCACAGTAAGTGGGGCAAAATAGGAAGTGAACATTACATAAGCCATCTGGAGGATGTTTTTATACTAAATGAAAGCATTTTCAGTATTGGTGGGCCAAGAACAAATCAAAGTTCTAGTTCTGGCAGAGCTGCTGATGTTTTACCCATTTACTGACAAATAGTTCCTCTAGGACTGTGCGCTTTTTGTTTAAAATCATAGTATTCCATCCATTCTACATTGACTATTTGTTCCATTTAGAATTTTGCCTAATTTGTAACCTGTTTTTTGCTAGGTTATAGACCATATATGTTCTGGATAATTAGATCGTGGGGGTGATGTTGGCCCTGAGCATGGTCTTGGGACTATTTAATTAAATCCTTCTCATTGCTGGAACATTTATTATGTACTTGCTCAATTTCTGATTTATTTGTTTCTGTTTTGTATATATGTATACATATGTATACACATCTATGATAATGTCAGTGAATGTTAGATGTGAATTCCAGGGCTCTGAGGAGTGACATGCCCCTGAAAGTCCTGGGCAGTTAGCTCAATGTCCACTTCTAAACCACAAACTTTGCTTAGTAGGGTTCCTACTATGCGCTGTACAGTATCATTATATCACTCTTTATCATCTACATCTGGCTTTTTTATGGAATCTCACCCCGATTTATGTCACAGATGGCAAGTTCATGTTTTTTTTAAAAACACTTTTTAATGTATTGTTTACATTGTTTGTATTAATGAGTACTCTAAAATCCAGTTATTTAAACATATTTGAATTGTTGTTCTTAAGGGCAACACACACACACAGGCGGAATATAATGCACATCAAAACACCCACACCTCTTGCCAGGCAGTGACAGTGTCTTGGCGTCAACACACATCGACTCTCCGGATATGCACATCACTGAACTTTGGCTTCCTCTATTTATATAGAGCATCTGGTGTGTGCTTCAGGAGTGAAATGGTGCATGTCAAATGACGTGGCGCTACGCGTGGCGTGTGTTGCACTTTAGAAGGCAACAGAAAGACAACAACACAAGACAGTTAAATGCTAAATGGCTTCTTTGACCTAAACTTTTCCTTGGGGAATATGAATCTAAACAATAGCACCCAAATGGAAAGCTTCATATACCTTCTTCTCCTGGAAAACTGAAGTCATCAGGGTCATCCTGTGCCTCAAGGCAGGTGGCAGGGACCCAGCCCTGGGCATCTTCTGAGCTCACAAACCACCATCCTAAATGAGCAGGATATAAACACACGGACATACAAGATATCTTGTTTCCATCCGAAGATAGTAAAAAAAAATGTAACCGTCTTTCCAGACCAAAGCAAAAAGAAAATGAGAATTAATGCAATTTAAATCCACAACTGTTCTGTGAATACTAGCAGTTTGATGCATTGAGATAAACAGTTGGTGGCGTTAATTCTCCAGTCTGCTGCCATTAAACCATGCAAACGAAGAGGACGCAACAAGATGAGGTCATTAAAAATCCGGCATTCAAACAACAATGGAAAACGGTGTGGAAAACATGATGGAAGTTCAGCAGCGTTTGTCCTCATTGGTCCACACAGATTGGATGTTTGGCTACTTGTTTTTCGATTTAAACCAGCAACCTTTGCAAAATCTAAACTTATCTAGGATATAGTGAAAGAGTACATTGAACGCAGAATAGAACTCACCTGACTCATTTTCTCAATGACCTCCACCACCTGACCAACATGCAGGCTGATTTCGGAGCTCTCCTGCTTCTCATAATCTGTTACTGCCACATACTGGTCGAGGAGGAGAGGGTCCGCTGAGGTGGAATCTCCTGTTAAGGGGAACAAATCAAAACGGAGGCCTTTTAGCTCTTTCCCCCCACCTCTTTCTGCTCCTTTTGTTTGCTAAGGATGAAATCTCAATAATGTAAAAAAGCCTCCACTCATTGCTTTTTGCTTTTCAGTGAGGATCTTTGGTAATATTTGTTAATGTGATATTAAAGGAATGTCCATTAACTTGGAATCATACGAGATGTTGACCTTTAAAAGTTCTTGTATCTCACTGACTGAAGAGAATATGACCTTTTAAAATGGCAGATTTTACACGCACTTTAAAGAACTTTACTGAAAAGCTAAAGTAAGCATGGTCTTTACAAAGCAGCCAAAATGGATCTGAAAAGCCATAATAAGTGAACAACTCACTTTTGATGAAATGCCCATTATAATTCCAAGGTCAAAAGTGTGTGCAAAAGCTTTTGAGTAAAACGTTAAAAGGGAGAGGAGGCTTATCTAGAGTATGGAGATTCACCCAGACATGAAGCAGAGGAGGAAGTGGTCGTGATTGGAGAGTGGTCGTGATTGGAGAGTGGGCGTGGGGGCGGGGGAATGAACAACGGCAGGGGAATAATAGGAGATTTGGAGAATGGGAGTGAAAGGTAATGGTAAAAAGTGAAGAGGGTTAAGTCAATCATCAACATGGCTGTGACTTCCACACAGAAACAAACCAGCACCACTAAGACCCATCACCAATGTTAGCACCAAGCCAGCCTGAGATACATGGACTTTTAACACACGAGGGCTTAACATACAACCAGTAGCACAAACCAGTATAATTACTCTTTTTCCTGATTTATGATCTTTAAAAACTTGTCTAGAACAAACCCAAATGGAGAAAATTTACTTGACATATAAAACTTTATTGGAAACAAAATACCTTTTGGCTGACACAGCTTGTTGCAATTTTAAAACCCTGTATGCCCTTGCATTACGTGCAGGAATCCTCCACAGCATGCAGATCACTGAAGGTTCTGATGGACACATTTTTAACCAATGTGTTTGTAACACACAGGCAAACAGAAATCATGTCTCTGCAGACAAAAGACTAATATAATGTGAAAATCTTAAAGTACAGATGTGGTAAAATTCACATTGCATAGTTCTTCAAACAGCTTAAAATATCACAGCTTGTCCTTCTGTACACATCCTTCAGTGAGCAGCAAACTGTTTAATCAAACTTTTTTTTTTTATCAGAAATTTTAATATTAGTAATTTATTAGAGAGAGAGAGAACCGGAGGAAACTAACATCAGGTTGAGTTGAATTTTAAAGAGAGAACACAGCTAAATACCAAACAGCCTTGAAGACTGTTAAGCAAGCTTACCAATCTGCTAGGCTAGTTTGAACTTGGAAGATCAGGTAGACTGACAAACTAACCCAAGTAACTCGGGTTAACTTTTAAATCATTAGTTTATAATATTAACTTCCCTAACCCTTTTCTCCAGGGTTTAGTTTTATGTTATTAAGCACACAAAAGGCTCCTTGGTTTCAACAATTTACATGTAACTCAACCAGTGACATTATTTCTGCCTCTAGGGCTCTGCATTGAAGAATTATTTGTGTAACCTCAATGATTTTGCCCGATGCTGAAAGCCTAGCAGATATACAGTATATGGCTCTACTGCATCGATGGTATATGGTAACCCTCTCTCGCAGATGTACAGTTAAAACCCTGCCACTATCTAGAGTCTTTTCTACTCTGTCCTTATGCAACATACCTACACCTACAGAAATGAACCACGCAGGGTCTGAAGATTACCAGTTATACTGTATGCTTTCTTTACAGAACCAATGCAAGCCCCAAGCCTTTAACAGAGCCACATCCCACCTGCCCAGGCCAGGGGAGGAGAGGGGGAACGGGCCACTAGCAAGCTGCTGGGTCACACACACAGCACGACCAAGTGTTTACTACCTCGCTTTAGGAAAGTAGTCGCTCTCTCCACAATCCCTGATGGAAAGGAAAATGAATGAAGAAGAAAACTGAAAAAAAAAATACATGGATGCAACATGGATGCAAGAGGATAGAGAGAAAATAAAAAGAATCAGTGAAACAATGGCAAAGGGGATTTCCTTGTTGCCGGTACTATAATAGTCAACTCCAGGTATAGACAGAATCTGTCTTTGTTAATGAAACAAGAACATTTGGACTGGTCGAATCAATGTTTTTTTTTTACCTGTATAAAACTCTGTGACCACTAGATGGAGATAATGTCATTACATATTACAGATGAATTGTAGAGGACTTGGCATTCATAATGAAAAGAAGTCATAAAAAGTAAAGTAAAGGCTCATACTTACAGTATCATACATACATACAGTGTGCCTGGTTAAATTCATCTTCTGAACTTATTATAAGACTAAATAACACACAATAGCCAAGTCCACCTAATCCCATGTTCATTTCAAATACACAAATAAAGCGAGTCTTACCCGATTTCTTCTTTCCGATGGGCTCCCTGTTCAAGAGAAGAAATCATCACATTACTACCAGGAAATATCAGATCAGTTTACAGAGCTAAGGAGAAAGTCCTCACCTACAAATACCATCATCAGTCTAATGATACAAAACATCATGAAAAAAGATAAGACAGTGGCCCTAATCACAGAATCAGTCTGATTACTTTAAGTGATTTGATATCCTTTAATCTATACTTTGCAGGAATGACCCAAGATGTTGGTTGCCATATTTATGCATTTACTGCATTACCTCAGTTACTACTGACATTTTCAGTTATTAACTTTGCGTGGCAAACTGGCACTAATGATGCTTTTTAAATAAACTTTCAATTGTTTAATTTGATTTTTTTATTTGCCGTGGTACCACAGCACAACACTTAGACTGATTATTCCAGCAAAGAATTAACAGTAATTGCTAACATTATCGTTATGTTAGATATATTAATATGCTAGAGATACACAAGAAAAGGATCCATCTCTCTTCCTCTCTCTCTCCCCGATGAGAATAAAGAGCCTCTAGATTGCTGATCTCTGAAATTCAGTCTGTTAAATTCAGTACATCATCTGCTGTGTCTGGTTTAGACATTAACCAGATAAATAGACCATCACTCCACAACAGCAGTCAGGAGCTGATTCAATGTCCAGATGCTACAAAAAGTCAATGGTGGCTAATGCTAAGCATTTTACTCTCTCACTTGCTCCCTCTCTCCCTCTTTGTTGTCTAAATATTACCCTCTTACTTTATGGCCTTCTATCACCTTCCTTTTTCCATCTCACATCTTCCAGGTCTACTTAACTCCCTCCTTCAGCTCCCTTGATCATTTTCCTTGGCAACTACTGCTAGTTCGTTTCCCTGCATCAACATGAATGCGCTTCGCCACACACAGCACTGTTTGATCGGCAGAACTGTTAATTGCAGAGGCTTAAGTCTCAATAAATCTTTACCCATAAGCGTGCCCATTAATGCACTATAAAAGAAATCCCCAGCCAGGCCAACCAAAGCAGTATCAATGATCTGGATTGTTATAGAGCAGGAATGTGTGTGTACAGCAGTATGTGTATGCTTTGTTTGCTTGTTTTGAACTGAGGTTTAACCTGAATCATGTAATGCACCAGACACAGCCACTGACCTGGATCCTTCAGCTAATATGATTATTTTACTGTAACTAGTTTAGAGTAACAAATCAAATGAATCCTCTGACTTATTAGGGTTCATGTTAGTCTGAGACAGGTTAGGAAAAAACAGCATTGGCACTGGGGCCAACTTCAGTTTCAACTTTCACGGAAACATTCATATCAGTTTGTGTCTCATGGCAGTCACCAACATGATATATGGGAGATCAAATTCTAACTACAGAGGAATCATGAGAATACACTTTACAGGTTTGCCATTATATCTATCAAACCTTATACTACAGGAGATTATATTCACTTGGGGCTCTGATTCTTGCAGACCCATTAAAATAAAAGCTATCAAAGTTCTACACCTGGAGCCAAACCTTACAGGTAAACAGGTGTCGTACCACAGAGGACTTATACATTATTGATTTGAATGATTAATGAAATCTCTCCTCTCTTACTCCCTCTATCCCCACCACTTTGCCTCAACCTGTCGCTTCTTCCCTTTCAGTCGTGTTGGATACGAGCTCTTCTTCATTCTTTCCATCCGCTCTTATTCCATCTTGATCCACCATCTAAATCCACTTTCTTCCCCTGTAATCTCAGAAACATCCCCATTTTCCTCTCCCCATCTTTGATAGAACACTTCCTCTTTTCAACAGACTCCTTCACTTCTCACCCATCTTTTCTGGTTCTCTGACCCTCTACTTCCTCTTTACATTTAAGTACTCCATTTCCTCTCCTCTTACTTTGCTGCTCCTAAGGAGAAAGTCTAAGATGTCCCTCTCAGTGCAGTAGATTTATAGGCCATGATAAATCTTCTCCCACAGTGGCTGCTGTGTCTGTACACCGGCCCTGTTGTCAGTCGGCCAAACAACAGGCTGTACTAGCAGAAAGCAGTAATCCAATTTCAATAAAGACAAACCAAGGTCTTTGCTATATTCATCCACCTCGAGTGAATGCTCCATCTCTCTCCTGCCTCTCCCAACACATGCTTGGGATTTTGTATGAGGAGTAAGAAGGTATGTGTCCTTGGCAACATCCTCTGGGGGAGGACAGAAGACCTAGTGTGTATATTGTGCATATTGATCGGACACACACGAGAGTTACAGAGGGTTACAGTTTTACTAGGGTGAACACTAGTAAAACTGTTGGGATGAGAGAAGCATCTCTGCTGAGTGACACATCCCCAACATTGTGATTATATTACCACGGGCCTAAGCAATACAGCAAACTCAGTAAACCACCTGTGTGTGTTAGTAATTACATTAAATAATGGTATTAGAGAAAAAGTTTCAAAATAAAAACGTGCAGATGCACGCCAACCCAGGTTGTCCAAACAGAGTAAAACAGAACATTTGAAAGACGCTATAGTCACAAACATTCATCACAAAGTGCCTTTTGGGAAAATGCATTAGGACCTCCAGTATTAAAAATTATTCCAAAAGTGGGGCAACATTTTGCAATTTCACTGGCTCAGCTGTTTTACTGAGTATAAATGTCAAGGTGACTGGTGGGACAGTTGGTATATAAAATAAAGACACTAGGCAGGTGCAAGACTGTGGCTGCCTGAACCAAGCCATGTCAGAGAAAAATATTTTGCTTAAAGGACATTAAAATCTACAAAAATCTTAAACCGTGTCCAAATTCATGCTACTGTATTATAGTAGTTGTAATCATTTAATTGAGCATGTAGTACTCAAGCAGATAACAACAAATTAAGTAATAATACTGGTTATATTTTGCTAGTATTAGTACAAAATGATGTAGTACATTCATTTCATCCTGTAGTCACTGGAAAAAAGAAAACGTAATACTATATTATTACGTTTGTAGTAAGGGGTTGGGATACAGTGAAAGTCTCACTTCTGTGGCCCAGATTTTGCAACAAAAGTCTTTTGACCAATTTAAGAACCCACTCTCTTTACATGCTAGCTTACTGCTGGCCCTACATGCACTCCTGGCATATATCACAGGACTTATCAACTCAATTTCCTGCAGGCTGAGGTAACTTCTCAATGCCCAGTGCCACACACATCAGTATGTGATGACAGAGAGGTTAAAACTAATAACTCAGCTGACAGCTGTTGGTGTAAAAGCCATCTCTGGGGTCAAAATGTGAGCCCCACATTATGGTCTAGAAACCAGCCACCTGTAACCTCCACTTCCCCGAAGGTGCTGGTAACCGTAATAACAACACTTTTGTAACCGGGTCCTGTGTGTAAAGTATGTGTCTGTGTCAACATGTGCTTCTGTGTTAGAAGCTGGCATTCATTGCCCGCTGAGGTCTTAGTTTTGGCACATAGTAACTGTCAGCACTGAATATGGTTCTAATGTGTTGACTGAGATTTTCAAGAGACGTCAGAGCGGATCTGCACACCTTGAGAGCAACTATGCAGTCTCAGCTGTCTGGAGCCTGGTGGCTGAACTGAGCTGCAGCTACATGCTTAAATGCTAAGTCAGCATTTAAAAAGGCACCCATTAAGTGTTTATGCTTGAGAAATCAAACAGGAAGTAGTGTAAGAGTATGAAATCCTATCCATTAGAGGGTATAAATGTCATCATCCCACATCCGTCACAGGAACAATAGCGGGGGTTTGCTATTGTTTGAGAGAGTGTGTGAGAGCGTGAGACTTACTCCTTGGGTGGGTTGAGGTCTTCAGGTCTGGTCTCAAAAAACACTCTGACCTCCTCGCACTGGGAGATGTAGACCGGTAGTTGAATGAGGCTCTGCAGTCAAAAAATATAGCAGAAAACTTAGGTAACCGCACAAACCTGCACACAATCACTGCAGTACATCCAATAATCAACCAGAGGGTAAATATAGTGCTCACTGAGTGCCTGGCCTCCATGAAGTCACAGAAACAGTTACTATAGAGGCCATTTTCAGACTGCCCTCATTATTTCTAGTTTCTCATATTTCTTGTTATTGTCCCCACTGGTGTTAATTTTTAATATGAAATTGAGGATTTCAGAATTAAAGTGCATCAATAATAATAATAACAATAATAATAAAATAAGTACAATTTGTAATTTTCCATTCGCTTTTTGCAGTGTTTTTCAATGGCACAAGCTGGTTCTGTTCTCTTCTTTTTTTCTAAGCTCAGTTCATTGATCCGTCTCGCGTACCTTCCTCCCTAATCTTATGCCTCTGTGGAGGATCACTAGCGGCAGAGAGACGAGACCTGACAACAGGGCTGGAGATGAAAGACAAACAGTCCCATCCAGCTTTCTCTTTATTGGTGTGATCTCCCTCTTGCACACACAGCAAGTCATGTTATCGCACAGTGTCTGTTTCTAGACTTTTTTTTTTTGTTCTCTCCTGAGTCTGTTTTATCTTCTGCGACTCTCTCAACCAAACCACTAAAGGGCAGCAATGAAACAGATAATCACCTCAACAGCTTGATGCCCCAAACCAGGAGACAGAATAACTGTCACCAACAACCCCGTAGTGACTATCTTTCTTACAGCTAAGGGAGTAAGGCCACTCCTCCTTTTGCTGGCAGGCAAAGCTCAATGCTATCCATCAAGCTTCCTCTGATGGCCTCTACCTCTGATTGCAATACTCCTAAGTGTTTCACTTCCGTCCTTTAAAGGAGCAGAGTCTCTATCTACCTCTTGCACTCTCTGACACACACCGATATAACGCCAGGGCTGACGGACATTGAATGGTAGCCAAAGACCAAAACAAAGTGGCCTTGTCTTATGCCACATTTGCCTTGCCATACTTAGGAGTCCATGCCAACAGCCTGTGTTGAAGGAAAGGAGTGGACATACTGTCATGGACAAAGTACAACATGTGTTTTCAATTAGCAGTAAAGTTATTCGGCGTGTGAATGTGCATTTGTGCCCACTTACATGTTTATTGATTTAGGGCGCATATAAATTTGCTTGAATATTATGCATAAACATGACCTCAAAATCTCCTTTTTACAGTGGCTTCATCCATATCTTGAAACAGCGATGTGAAGTAGCTCGGAAGGCTGCGCTGTGCCTGAGGTTAGAGTGCATCCTGTACTGGCTATCCTCTCCTTGGATTTATTCCTCTCCTCACGTCAGCCTGTGGCCCGTCCACTCATTACAATTCCCCCCAGGGAGGAGACGGGAGGGAGGCTCAGGGTACATTACAGCAAATGGACTTTATGGGTGTTCTTTACAGCTGGCAGCATTAAGGTAATTGTGTGTGCCTGAGTGTGTACATGTAAGTGTGTGTGTGTTTTTGCCGAGGAAAAACAGGTAATGGAAATAAGAGATCTACTTGTGCAGTCCCATCAGGTATAGTAAAGTGTGACTGCATCGGTGCAAAATAACCTTTCACATGTAGACACATACAACCAAGGGGGATCCTGAGTCTTGACAAACAACAACAACAAAGGAGGTTTAAGATGTTATAACTATATTTGCAAGTGGATAAAAAAAACGATTGCGGCTTTCTGAGATGCAACACTTGCTGAGATGTAACATCTCAGAAAGCCACAATCGTTTTTTTTATCCGACTATGTTTCCTGACATGACAAAGAACAGGACTCTACAACTGGGAAAATTCCATATGAGTCAGGTTAAAACCTCAGCTGTGCAACACAAGGGCTGACTCAGCTCTTCCCTGAGAGAAACATGAAGTTTCACCTCAACCTGACTGCATGTGGGGGTGGATGAAAATGCCTTTTTTTTGCTTAGAGTCAAGTTTTTGCTAGAGTCAAGATCTGACCCGCCATGATGCTATGAAAGGGCTAAATGACGTTTTAAATCACTGTGTGAAACAGACAATGTTGATGTGTGAGATAGCATTTGGCTCATTGGCTGACAAACTGTAACTTCTTACTGCTAAGTAAAAGCAGTGCGACAAGATTGAGTTAATTTCCACTCAACACAATGCTCTCACATACTCAGAGGTATTTTGTCCTCAAATATTACTTGAAGTTCTTCAAATTTTAAACACAGGTAATTAGGTGAACAGGATTCTTTCTCTGATCAATTTTCAACACTCACCTGTAAACAACTTTGACAAAATGTGGATTTCAATCAATCAACTCCACGACAGATAAATGCAAATTTCTTTTTTATAACTTTTCAGATATTTCCACAATAAAACCTTTGACCACAGCAACACCAGTGATGTGGTCCAGCTATTCCCATGAACATCCACACCCATACACACAAACCAACAACTCTAACCACTCCCCCCCCAGACTTTTATTTGTCACATAAGTAGTTGAAGATGTTGCCTACACCAGCTGTACATTCCTTTAACCTAAGTAAGGCTGTACAGTCACCAGCCCCTCTGGTCCTCAACATTGTTTATCATCTTTTCTCTTCACTATGAGGCCTTGTGAACTGTTATTTTTATTCAGAAAGGAAACTCATTTCTACAGTGATGGTTTCATAAGGTTCCTAATGGAGGAGAGAAGTGATCCCATGATAAAATAATACAGTTGAAAATACAAAAAGGCATGAATAAGTAAAAAAAAAAAGTTGTTAAAACATCTTCAAATGTCTTCTTTCAGACAGACAGAAGGAGGTGTGTAAGGTTTAGAGGCCCCAAGGCAAGCCTGTAAAATTGAACAAAAGAGGCCTATGTGGATGTGCTGACTGGAGCAAACTCAGCACCAGCAAGTGTTTTGCCTTTGGCACAACTCTCTGCTGATAGTTTACCATCACAACATGATATACCAACAACTCTTCTTTCCTGGAATTTCTGAATACCAGAGCACTGTTTCACCCCTAAATTACGTGACTTTGTGGCCAAGTATCCGTTTGGAAAAAAATAATGCCCCCTGGCTGCAAAACGACACGCTCCTTTTGTTACTTTGAATTTACTTCAAGAGCACACAACTTTGTACCGTTGCTAAAAAGCTGAACATCACACATAATATATTAAGTTAGGTAGCTGTGGTTACATTTCTGTCAAATTGCTGCAATTGGTTACTAGCTATTAGGAGTTTTATGGTTGCTGTTCTGCTACAGTGGAGCCTGAGAATGTACAGCGGCATTTCCATCCCTTCTTCTTTTCTTTAAAAGCAATGTAATGGGCTGGATAATGCACAGGTTTTACGCCATCTCTGTTTTAAATGGTGGATAGAGCTGCAGTATTTCAATTGGTAAAAAAGACACTACCAACACAAAATAACACACTTCTATACTCCACAAAAGTGTCCATTCTGTATTTCTTCTGTCACTGACAGCAACTTAACAGCAGAAGCATATAAAGTACATATAAATGATCTTGTCCAGAGGGATCATGAGGATTTACTGTATATTTGGGAGGTACTACAATGACATACTCCCATTTAGCTACACAGAAACAGATTTTTGCTTTTCCACTATTGATCCCTTGAGAGAAGTTCTGTTTTGTTTGTGTCCTTTAGCAAAGAGGTCATAGTCAGCTATTGAGCACCTGGGGAGCTTTAAGGACACCTCTGCAAGGTGGATGCCTGCTATCACAAAGGCTTGCTGCAGGGGGTTTAGCATGAGACACACCACAGCACTGGCAATTTAGAAAGACAGGGGCAATGGGCATTATTTATACAGCTGTTCTTGGAACAATGAAATCCTATAAATCTGGTTGTTGCAAATTAGCTTTAATGAATATAACCACTTGTCTCAATTTTTCTATTCCACCTGCGTCTGTTTCGCAGGTGGAATATTTGAAAGATGAAGGTAATGGCTTACAAATGTGTGACAGTGACTTGCTTATATTATATATATATTATATTAATATATATATATAATATATATATATATATATATATAATATATATTATATATATATATAATATATTATTATATATAATATATATATATATAATATATATATATTATATATTATATATATATAATATATATATATATTTATATATATATATATATATATATATTATAAATAAACACAGAGTGGATGAGAAGATTATTTTATGATTAAGCTGATACTACATGGGTGGGATATTTGTTTTTCTTTCCCCCTGACCACTGGATTCTCTACCTTGATTTTAGTCCCTTTTTTTTCTTTGTACTGTGTAGAAGATCTAAATGCTCACTGGTTAGTGTAGCTTTCATGACCTACAACATATATGACCATCACAGATTTCCGTAGTAACATATTAGTCAGTATACTCACCCGGCAGTACTCATTGATGGGCCTTAGCCTTTTCATTGCCACATCTCTGATATGGCTCCTCCTAAACAGGATCTTCCCTGTAACAAAGTAGGAAAAACAGGCTTACAAGTCAGAAAAGCCAAATTTAAAATCACTTTCATTCATGCATATAAACTGTAAACATTTGCATATACAGGAAATGTGCATGTCTATTAGGGTTGCGACGATAGACTATGCCATCATCCATCGGCGATGGCTGACAGATGGCCGATGGTTGTGCAGGCATCGTGATTGTAAAACCCCGCCCCCTGGCAAAAAAAATCTAAATTTTTCACATAAAACCACCACGTGAAAGCATGTTTTAATCACCACGAACATTATTATAATACATTTTAAATACGCTTCGCACCTTCCTCAGAATTCTCTTCTCCCCACACTCAGACACACAAGAGGCCTACACCTCATATAAACACACCGGCTTGCCCGCCTCTCTCTGTCTCCCAACTCGCCTGTCTACTCCACTTTCTCCATCAACAGTACATTTTATAAAGTCGCCTAAAAGACACAGAACTCGTCTTGTTCCCGTATTTTTCCCACCCGCGATCCGTTATCACGGCAGCAGGTGAGCTGCATGTGGGCTTGTTAATGACGCAGCCGAAACCAACATCTGCACCCTGTGTGTTCAATGGTGCTTTAACTGGTCCATGCTTGTAAAATTCCCACCGCTACTTGTAAAATCATAGGCTACCAAGTTTTTAAGTCTTTGCGAGTGAACATATGCACATAAGACGCGCGCCCCCGTTGCCATCGTCCATCCCGATGTTTCAATTTTGTCCGATGGAAATTTTGTAGACATTGCCCAATCCTAATGTCTATGCACCTAATTCAGTTTTTCAAGGAACACAGATAATCAGTGGTGATACCAATATTCCACAGCAAAATTATATAACAAGTTCTAATCAAAGAAACCGTGAATTGCCTTTTTCACTTAGATGATGCTTTTGTCAAGAGCAACATTAAAAAAATTAGGGGTCCACTGAAGGACAATAAGGACACAGTGGCAGCAACAAATATGGTTGGTGAATTAGCATGCAGACACAATGCAGTCACGTAGTCAATAACACTGACAGCACAATGAGGTGGGTAAGGAGCTAGGTGAAAAGCTGGCCTTTGCAAGTCATGAATAAATGATTTTGGGAAAGCAAATTATGCCTGCATGACAGCTTAAATGCCACTTCCCGACTCTTATCTTTAGGCACAAATAACCACAGGCACAGACAAGTCAGGTCGCCATAACAATAACAAGAAATGGCTACAAATAGGCCTCTTAAAACACTCTAATTTAACGGTATGCAGGAAATTTCAGAGCCAGCACTTATTTCTTTTCTATTTTTAAGCTGCTGATGTTTCTCCAATAAAGTTACTGAGACAGCTTTAATGCAAACATATAAACTGGGAAAGAAGACAAGGCTGTAACAAGATCCTGTTCACAAAAAAAAGGGACATGTTTGAGAAGTTACTGCATCACTTCCATCAAGGGGTTATGGCATTTGTTTAGAGAATACTTAGAGCAGACTTGCTGAAACATGAATCTACTGCACAGGAGATCACCAACGTTAAACTTTTTTGCAGTGGGTTTGAAACCTACTGGCCCGAAGACAATTTTTACTGTCCCTCCTTCCAAAGGTTATTTATCAGTGTTAACGTTACAACAAAACCAAAAACTTATGTTATACTGCTAACTGCTAATGTTTAATCGTTTATTAAATACATCCTGGATATAAAAAACTAAACAAAATGTTTAGTTAAAATGATAAAAATAAAAAGGTTAAAACAATTTATTTTTAAAACAAAACATACTAACAGACTCAAACATGACGTGCTCTCCCGCTGACAGCCATTTAATAAAAATTGTACACGAGTCGCCTCTATCCTGATGAACAGGTCCTGTCCAAAGTATACGCTGCATTATCGCCTATTTTCCCCTAAATAGGACCATAATATACTAAATGAACATCATGCTTTGTTGAAGAAGGATTGAAACTAGCGACTGAGACCATAAACTCATTTAAAAGTGTTTACTGAGTATATAAATTAGCTGAGAAGTGGCTACATTTTACCATTATTTCTAATGGAACCAGACTTCTTTTTGCAACCAGTGGACTCGCCCCTTGCTGGCCGTTATTGAGAATGCAGGTGTAAGTTCCGTCTGCATGGTTTCACTTTCAACCCAGAGGTCGCCGCATGATTGAGATTAGAGAAATAACATTCGACAACCACTCGTCACGTAACTACAACTCTGGATTGGACATTGGTGTGCGCCAAGAGCTGCAAAACAACTGCAGGATGTTGAGTTTCATTTATTTATTTTTTTTTTAATAATAGCCTATTAATGTTTTTGCACTGGTCCAATCGGGCCAGTGAGTTGCTAGTTCAACTGTCCCGACGTTGCGTTTTACTGGCCCCGGGCCATCGGGCCACCGTTATTGTCGAGCTCTGAACATACTGATGAAAAAATAGGTACAGGCACAAAGAGACTGATCATCACAGTGTCCGATTATGTATATTTATACCCATGTGTTACTGCTCGTCTTAGGAATCAAGACAAAAGAAAGTAAAGATACATGAAGGGAAAAACTAAACCAAGACAAAAGTATATATAAAGAGCATAATGTGCATAATAAAGAGGAGAAGACTGCTGAGTGCATAGATGTGTGGTGACCTCATCAAAATACCTCAGACCTCACCCACTTTACACAATAACCACCACCACCAAACTTCCAAAAGACCCCACCGCTGCACTCTATCCAACCATCACATCTCTGACAGCAACCTATTAGTTGACTCAGGTACTTGACAACACAGGAAGTCATACTAAACTTATGCTGCTTAGTGTCTAAAGATAAGAGTAAAGTCTACTATAGGGCTGGATGATATGGCCAAAAATGTTATCACGATAAAAAGTTTCATATCTTTCGATATTGATAATTATCACGGTAAGTATCAAATCGTTAATTCTTTCGAGTATAAAGACTGACTTTTTGCCTCTGAGTTAGAGTTGAAGAAGCCTGATTGTGTTTCAAATTGTGGTTTAAACTTTTCTTTATGGTCAACACTTGATCCCAAACAGAGGATCATTTCACAAATCTGAGGTAGAACATTCAAAACAATTATGAAAATCTTTGTAAAGCAAATATGCAAGAGTAAAATTAAGTAAAAGCTTTTTTCAGTCCTTCTTCCTCAACAAAATAAACATCTTAATAGAAAAATGAAGTCATAATTTGTCTATGATTCAAGTGAATAAACATAATATTTATTGAACATTTGTATATTGTTATTGAAAAAATTCTATCACAATTACTTATTGCTTTATTGTCCAGCCCGAGTCTACTATAATATCAAAAGAATCAGACTGTAAATGCTGTCAGTGAATAAACAAACATGTTTTGTTTTTTCATCTGAGCTAATATGAGCAGGAAGGTCAATTTGTGAGGAAAGTCAGATCTTTAAAATAACAGATGTTTTTTTATCTCCCGTTTTTGTGGCTTTTGTTTTGGTCTTTCTATTCTTATTAGACACGGCAGAGTAAATATCTTAAAAACTATTGGATGGATTTTGTACGGACATTCAAGGGCCCCAGAGGATGAATCTTACCAACTCAGGTGAACCCTGACTTTCCATCTCCATCTCATCTCCCATGAGGTTGACAATTTTAAATTTGAGTTCCCGTGAAATTTGCTGCAGATTTTCAAGGTCCCCATATGATGAATCGTGATAACATTGTTTATCGGTAAGGTCAAAGTTTCCAGAGTGAATATCCCAACAACTACTAGATGGATTGGCACAAAATTTGGTACAGATATTTATTGGTCCCAGACAACATATCATAATGACTTGAGTGTTCCCCCTGGACCCCAGACAAAAAAAACGGGCTAACGGACATTAGCATCATGGTTGCGAAAATATAACCTTTAACATAAACTGCACATTTTGCTTCACATGCTTAACATCCTGAGTGACATACTGTGCAAATACTTGAAGTACAGATGTTTCCTGAGTTCTGTATGAAATAAAAAAAAGAGCTACTAAATTCACTGTCTTTATCTGCTTCTTCTGCACTCCACACAGACTAAATACAGCAACCCCAAAGGGTCAAAACTCAAACCCCAAATTCCCTGTAGCCAAAAAATACAGCTATCACTAGGTGGAGAAAGGGCAGTACAATGCTGTATCACTGAACACTTGTCAGTATAATGTGATATATATAGGTGGTACACAGCAATTTGCATTTTCAGCAAAGAATTCAGTAAATTCAGTGAATTTGCATGTTTGTGCCTTTTTATAAAGAAATGTTTTTATAATAATTTTTCATAGTTGCTCTGTAGTTCTGTATTTTTAATTTACGACTGAAAAATGAGAGAACTTTTTCACGGGCATTTTGTATGTATGTATTTTGTGTGTATTGTTTTTGCATAGTTAGACATATTTCGTGATGTATCATTTTAGCATTGTTCAGCGATCGGTTATCCCAGAACTGCTGTATTGTGATATTATCGTTATCGTGAGCCATGTATCGTATCGTGAGGGACCCTACGATTCCCACCCCTACTGTCCAGACAGCTCACGAAAACGAAAGAGATTTGAAAGTCAACCCCTGGACGCTTACTGTATTTCTCCTCCCCCTCCTCCTCTCTCTGTCTCCTTCTTCCTCTCCTCCCCTCATCACTCCTCAAACAGAAAGCTTTCTTGACAGTTTTCCAACTCTCTCAGAGGTCAGGAGAGAAGCACTGACTCAACACTGCCCACTCTGTATGCACGGCAGCTCATGGGTGCAGCTGAGAAAAGGGCTTTTTCAGGTAGGGAGGGAAGGAAAGCTGCTGCCTTGGAGCCATGGCCAAGGCACGGTTGATTTTAAGGCAAATCTCAGAGCCAGCATTGATCAAGGGTATCAAACAACTTTTGTTTCCTAGGGGAGAATGAGCGAGGCAGATAGAGAGAAGAGACAGAGAGATGGGAACACTTTGTATGGGCACATATTTTCAATATTTAATTATCAGGCCTATACACTGAAAGGACTCGGTCATGCTAAGCTACGTTATTAAAAACAGCTTTAAAAGTAAAGTGTTCAAATCCTGTGTCATTTTGATGGTTAGCATTCAGAGATCGGAAAGACTTGCAGTTTAGTTACAATTTGCTTAACTTGCAGTTTGGTTTGGACTTGTTTTGATTGACTTGACTCTTGATAATATTACGAGACTGGAGACTTGAAGAAACATGCCATTACAAATATTGGACTTAACTTGGACTTGTCTCACATAAGTTAACATTCTACTGCAAGACCTCAGACTTGAGTTGTACTGTACTAGTAAGTTAATTCCTGTCTTTCAAGAAAAATCAAAATCCACAACCCATTTCAAAATCAACTTGACTTGAAACTTGCTGTTACAAAATCTAACAACTGACTTTGGCTTGTCTTAACTGACTCGCCCCAAAAGGTTCTACATAATAATGAAACAATGCTACTGAGTTAAAGCATGAAAGAATGAGCTGTGTGAGTAGTAATTACTGAGTTCTTAGTTAAATTGCTGACTAAGGGCAGACATATCTTCATAAGCTGCCATAAAAGACAAGTCTGCTACTGGTACTCCACCTTCAAGTAGACAAGAGCAGTGATTACTTTCCTCTGCAGACAAGAGATGTACGTGATATGCATGAGGCATAAGCAACAAGGTCATTGGAACTGTAGCTTTCTAGAGGACCAACTGGGGAATGTGTTATTCAGATCCACAGAAACATATTTGACCTGTCCAACATACTGTGCCTCCTACTGTGGCAGGCAGAGCAATCCCCAGGCAAACAGTGAAGCTGAGACAAGTATGTACTGTAGATCTATCTTTAAGAAAAGGGAAAAGAAAAAGTCAATCCAAATTACAAATTCATATTCTACTTCTGAGAAGTTCATGAAAGAATATCACCTCATTTCTCATGCAGGGGCCCTAAAGAAACAGACCCACATTCCAGCTTTGGATTTGACTCATAGTTCAACAACCCCATCTTTAGATAATTGATCAAGAGCATATGAGCTCTTTTCAAAGGCTGACCTGCTGACACTGCCTTAAAGAGCAATCGTTCATGGCTCTAGGGTATCAGTTCAAATTTATCTAAATGTCATGTATGAACCCATCAACGGATTTTACTGCGAGGGGTCTTCGGGTGACAAATGGACTATAGACACATACCATGCAATCTTGAGATAATAAAAGAGTCAAAAAATTATTGAAAAGGGTATGGATATAAATATCCAAGTTTGAGACTTTTTGGAACTTCCTCTTAGAGGTAAAGGATGGACTCATGAACAGATTGCAGCAGCCAAGATTTTGGTGTGTACATAGGGCAAAAAATACTGAAGACATTCTACACTATGTGCAAATGCAGACAAGCCACTTTGCTGATGTGGAGATACCAAAGAAGTAAAAACAGCTTGAGGCCTTGAACAAACCAAACAGAAAATGGTAAACCACTTCCGTGCCTTGTTAGGTTGGTCTCAGCCCTCAGTCCAGACTTTTGCTCTGCAAATGTAAGGGGTTTATTTGTCTGTCAGGAAAATCCTTCTGCAAATCAGGGAAATGTTAGCTTTGAATCCATCTCAAGAGAGGTGTATGACCTGATCTGGTGCCATGCAGAGTCCAATCAGTATTTAACTTTTGGTGTCTTCATACTCCACAGGAGCAGTTGAAGATTTAGCGCCTGCCTCAGTAATTTTCTTCCAAAGAATACGGTGGAGTGAACGCCTCTACCACCACTACAGACAGAAATTTTAAAACAAATCTAGAATTCCAGGGGATAAAGAAGTAGACAGAATTTAATATAGATGAGAATTCTTAAAAGTATTCATAATCAGTATACTTTCCCTTCCCTCCTCCTACTCTGAGTTCATCAAACTCTGTGTGTGTGTGTGTGTGTGTGTGTGTGTGTGTGTGTGTGTGTGTGTGTGGTGTGTGTGTGTGGTGTGTGTGTGTGTGTGTGTGTGTGTGTGTGTGTCTCAATGAGTTCCAGACCTGCAAGGCCACAAAGAAAATCCTATCCCCCCACTCGTCCCAAGCCTGGTAGGGGAGATGTGGGTGGAGTCTTTGGGTGAGGCTTTCTTACAAACTCTCATAAAGGATTACTTTCAGCAGGATCTAAATCTCAAACAATTTCAAAAGCTGGTCGAGCACACCCAAAGCCCATATTCCAAACAAACTTTGTTGCCACTGGTACTTGTAGAAAAGTAAGGTCCTGTGTGAAATGTTTTACAAATACTTTAAGTTTCACCTAAACACTCAACACTAATTATATTTAGTTGTCTAATATGGCTATGGGCTATATGAGATCAGATAGGTCAGCTGAATGTTTAAAGAGTAGATGAAAAAACATATTCTGTCTTCGTTCAGAACAGTGAGGTTATGACCAGTGAGGTTGCAGCACATTTTTCTGGCTGGTTCTTTTGTGTGCAAAATATTCTGCTTGAATTCACAGCCTATTAGTGAGCCATTGTTGTCCACATATTTAATGTACATTTTATCATAAAGCAAGGCTGTCACCAACAAATATTTTCATTTTACTTTTTTTTTTTTTGATTAGTGGAAGTATCTTTTAGTCTTTGAAAATTTAAGAAAATCTTTCTTAAAGATGACACTAACAGTTTGCTTGATTTTTCCAAACAACAGGCCAAGATCAAAAAGGTATTTCAGCAGCTGGACCCAGCAAATCTTGGGTATTTTTCTTGATATTACTGAAATAAATAACAAAATAGGTCTTCCGCTATTCATATCAAACAAACCCCAGTTGTGTGTGTACAATGTAGATGAAAGGGCCTTGGGGACATGTGTTTAACTCTTACCTGGTAGGAACGGAATGATCCTGCGCTTAGGGTCTTTCTGGCCTCCTTCCACTGGGAATTTATCCAACAACTCCATCTGAAACACCACAATTATTTAAAACTTATTAGCACACAAATCATTTACTCAACACGTACACATAAACATGTACTTCACATTACACACAACAGGATGGCTGAGGATAGAGAGGAAGGGTTCACATTTTTTCAAATCAGCAGTTCCTACAAGGAATTCAGCCAATAAAGAAAGGCCTGCCAATGATTAGGAATGTCCCGAGCACATGGTATGGTTTTTCCTCTGTACTTCATATGCTGCTGCAGCTAAGGGCTCTTAGCAGCAAGGCACCGCTGACATAGTGGAACATTTCTGTTTCCATAATTTTCAAAGGCCAGATAGCAGTGGTTCCTTATATGTGGTGATCACCATTTCGCTCTCTTTAAAACACATTGTGGCTTAAGAGCATTTGTTTCTACTTCAACACTTTGTCTTCCTCCCTCTGCTACATTTACATATACAGTATAAATCAATATTTGAGAGTGTAGTGTGTGTGTGTGTGTGTGTGTGTGTGTGTGTGTGTGTGTGTGTGTGTGTGTGTGTGTGTGTGTGTGTGTGTGTGTGTGTGTGTGCGCCAATAAAATGACACCTGGCCATATTGACCAATGAACTCCAAGTGCACTCTCTAATGCGCTTTCCTAACAGTGGATCTGCACATTGTCTTCACTTATGGATCCTTGTATGGTGCTCAAGGTAAACCACATACCTACTACCAAAAGATTTTGATATTGCTCTACAAAATTCAATACTTTAAAAATACTTTTCACACTCCAGTAAAACATTTTTAAGGTGATCCGAGTAAGTGTTTCATGGCACTACAGTATCAGCCAGAGTTTGGCTGAATGATATAAAGGGACACGCCTCTTCTTGAATCAATGGCCAGTTTATTTGATCACTGTTTTTAGTCAGCAGCATCAACCGATGTTTCAAAATAGGGTCTGCAAGTATTTTTGCAAACCCAATACACCACCAGGGGTCCACTGTTGAGTTTCTCCTCTCAATTGAATGCTGCATTAAACAAAATCACAAAATCAAAAGAAACTAAAACCTTAATTCTTTGATGCAGTGATACAATATCAAAAGTGGTCCACATTCAATAATTAAAAGGCCATGCAAAGTCAGTAGTAGGTAAAAGGTCAGCATGCAGTTAGAGCGGGACCCAGGGATGGTGCCTACATCTTCTGTCACTCAGGGTATTGTGTGTCTGATGTGCATTCTTGTCGGGTTGCATTGTCACATTTTGAAAAAACTAGCAAAACCAAAATCTTAAAATGTGATCTCTTAAGTTAACGCCGATTTTAAACATACAGGAGCTCACCAGCCTAATTTTATTTTCTTTGTGAGATGGAAGAATTTAGTAAGTTGCGCTGCACTGCGGAGAGCCTCCAGCTGCAGTAACACGTGGATTATGTGTAAAATCTAGAGCATCACACTTCATCCAGCCAGAGGGAACGACCACTGACCGTCCAATGCGCTGGTTCCACTGGCAAGAAAACCCATAGTAGGGTGAACGGAGGGGGGAGCGGGGGAGCATACAGGGCGAGGGAGAAGAGGTTGCATCCTGGCCGTAGCCTCGAGAAAAAAACCCTTGATAACATATTCAGGTATTTTCTAAGATTGCTCAGGTAAACAGCTGCTTCAGATACGCCCAAAAAAAAGTTTCGTTGATGCTGGTGTAGAATTTTGAGTGTTTGAGGCTCTGTAATATAGTGCTCACTTCTACAATCATATTTGCCACAGTTGATGAGATGCGGTGAGACCTGAAAAGAAATTGCCTTACATAAATTAAATATAACAATATTTAGCCTACTGTTGACTTTTTGTTTCACAGAACACAAACACAAGTCTCCTGATTCAAAGGTCCTGGCCCTCCTACACCCAACCATGTTCTAACTCAGTCTTTCTGTTTAAATATCATATTCCTGCTTTACCGTCACAAACTGACGTACAGGGCTTCCCCCACTGAGTTGACCTATGATGCTATAGGGATCCCCAGTACATTACAAACGCTGTTAGGCCTTGACCACGCATATGTGACAAGTCGGGAAATGAGAACGGGTTATAGGAATACAACACCGGTCAAAGATAGAACAAAATGCAGCTCCTTTGTTTTCTGTTATGGGTTTAAAACAGGAAAAACAAAACAGATGTCTGTTTTTTGTTTACCATTTTTTCATTTTTCCGTTATGGTTTTAAAACAGAAAAAACTAAATCCGAAACGAAAATAATGAAAGAACAACCATACCAGATTACCATCTTCTTTAGAAACCACAGATCTAATTTTAGCAATGTTCCTAAGATGGAAAAAACACATAGATTTGTCAAAAATGACACCCAGATTTCTAACAACATTACAGTCAGAGGATGATAGAGCCCCAATGGCTTGCCTAGGGGTAATGATGTCTGGGGCAAAAATCACTGCCTCAGTTTTGTCTGAATTTAGTTGCAAAAAGTTGTCTTCCATCCATTTTTTAATGGAGGATAAGCAATTGTGCAACAAGGACGTCTGTTTAGCCTATCAGGCTAAAAGATAAATATAATTCGATGTCATCAGCATAGCAATGGTAAGATATTTCTTCAAAACTACCAATAATCTTTCCAAGAGGAAGCATATACAGACTGAACAGCAGGGGGCCGAACACAGAACCTTGGGGCATGTACTAAATAGTGCTGAAATATACCATTTAAATTGACTTAATTATGTCCAACCACAAAGAATCTACTTAAATGGGGATCTGTATACTTGCATCAATGGATGCAAGGTGTGAACCAATATAAATTATAGGAAAACATGAATAGTATATTCTGAATGCGTTCATAATCTAATAATAAACTGATCTCTATAGTGCAAATTAAAAGAAGTAACCTACATTTTTGTACAAAACTAACGTAACTGTGCATTCAGAGTTCGGGCTAAGATGGTCACGAAGCTAACCGAAGTGTGCACTGCTACGTCTTGCAAACCCACGCCCATCTAGATGACATACCAAGTTTTTAGTGGTGCCCAGTTATAGCTGGCCATGTGTAGGCTACAGTGACGGGGATATCACAAAAGAGACTAATACCATTATTGAATATTTTCTGTTCAATGTCCACCTGATAAAATTATATATCTATCAAGGCTGTGATTCTCAGAGGCATTTGAGGGTCAAAACAAACTGGCTCACAAATATTTAAACCAGGATGTTTTTCATTCCCCCAATGTTAAATACAGGGTACGGAAAGTATTCAGACCCCTTTAAATTTTTCACTCTTGTTTCATTGCAGCCATTTTCCAAAAATCCAAAAAGTTCATTTATTTCTCAGTAATGTACACTCAGCACCCCATCTTGACAGAAAAAAAAACAGAAATGTAGAAATTTTTGCAAATTTATTAAAAAAGAAAAACTGAAATATCACATGGTCATAAGTATTCAGACCCTTTGCTCAGTATTAGTAGAAGCACCCTTTTGATCTAATACAGCCATGAGTCGTTTTGGGAAAGATGCAACAAGTTTTTCACATCTGGATTTGGGTATCCTCTGCCATTCCTCCTTGCAGATCCTCTCCAGTTCTGTCAGGTTGGATGGTAAACGTTGGTGGACAGCCATTTTCAGGTCTCTCCAGAGATGCTCAATTGGGTTTAAGTCAGGGCTCTGGCTGGGCCATTCAAGAACAGCCACGGAGTTGTTGTGAAGCCACTCCTTCGTTATTTAGCGGTGTGCTTAGGGTCATTGTCTTGTTGGAAGGTAAACCTTCGGCCCAGTCTGAGGTCCAGAGCACTCTGGAAAAGGTTTTCGTCCAGGATATCCCTGTACTTGGCCGCATTCATCTTTCCCTCGATTGCAACCAGTCGTCCTGTCCCTGCAGCTGAAAAACACCCCCACAGCATGATGCTGCCACACCATGCTCACTGTTGAGATGTATTGGACAGGTGATGAGCAGTGCCTGGTTTTCTCCACACATACAGCTTAGAATTAAGGCCAAAAAGTTCTATCTTGGTCTCATCAGTCTCATCAGGTGTTTTTTAGCAAACTCCATGTGGGCTTTCATGTGTCTTGCATGAGGAGAGTCTTCCGTCGGGCCACTCTGCCATAAAGCCCCGACTGGGGATTGCTGCAGTGATGGTTGACTTACTACAACTTTCTCCCATCTCCCGACTGCATCTCTGGAGCTCAGCCACAGTGGCCTTGGGTTCTTCTTTACCTCTCTCACCAAGGTCTCCCCCGATAGCTCAGTTTGGCCGGACGGCCAGCTCTAGGAAGGGTTCTGGTCGTCCCAAACGTCTTCCATTTGAGGATTATGGAGGCGCTGTGCTCTTAGGAACCTTAAGTGCAGCAGAAATTTTTTTGTAACCTTGGCCAGATCTGTGCCTTGCCACAATTCTGTCTCTGAGCTCTTCAGGCAGTTCCTTTGACCTCATGATTCTCATTTGCTCTGACATGCACTGTGAGCTGTAAGGTCTTATATAGACAGGTGTGTGGCTTTCCTAATCAAGTCCAATCAGTATAATCAAAACAGCTGGACTCAAATGAAGGTGTAGAACCATCTCAAGGATGATCAGAAGAAATAGACAGCACCTGAGTTAAATATGAGTGTCACGGCAAAGGGTCTGAATACTTATGACCATGTGATATTTCAGTTTTTCTTTTTTAATAAATTTGCAACAATTCTACATTTCTGTTTTTTTCTGTCAAGATGGGGTGCTGAGTGTACATTACTGAGAAATAAAATGAACTTTTTTGATTTTTGGAAATGGCTGCAATGAAACAAAGAGTGAAAAATTTAAAGGGGTCTGAAAACTTCCGTACCCACTGTATCTCGCAGCTTGACTGGTATGAAAGACTCATATCTAAAATATGCAGCACTGGATGTTATGTGTTGTATGGTTAAGCATTGTTCATAGTTGGGATTTCTCAGACACATTATTGCCCTGATACTGCCATCTTGAAATGCTAACTTGTTATGTTTTTTCCAGTGCATCATGTGGTTTACTCATGAACATTCAGTTTTCCACCAATATACTTGAAGTATAATGAAGTCAC